AAGCAAGCCTGGGTGGACTGGCCCTACTCCCAGGTGTTTAGATGCGGCAGCCAGCCGAAAGACCCTGGTGGCACTGCCCTTGGTCTCTGCTGGCTCGTGAAAGGCCTAGGGTCAAAGATTTTGGATTCTGTCGTCACCCAAATGCTCCAGATTCAACTCCCCGAAGGACTCAGCCAGCCAGCCCTTTTCCATTTTCTATTTCTAGCAGCATTTCCTTGAAGTGCATCTGTTTCGCTCCACTGTTAGTGTTTTAAGTTGCGTGTTTTCACCGCCTCCTGTTTTAATGTCATCTGTTCTATTTTTAACAGGGGATCCGCTTTTCTTCTGGAACCCTTTGGGTTGTTTCTGATTCTGGATTTGGTCAGCCCCCAGAAATGCCGGCTCGATTGGCTACGGTGCCTTCGGTGCAGGACTTAGGGACAGAGCTTTTCCTGAGAAGGGCCTCCAGACACAGCAGCAGGTCTGGCTTCACCGCAGGATGAGAAAAGAGATGCCCATTTTCCATCGAAAGGGTCCCACCCCTCACAAGACCAGTCTAAAATTACCTACCCTTAGTAAGAGCATAAACATAGTTAAGCATAAGGCTTGCTTGTCACATGAAGAAAGATGACGAGGGAGCTCATTGCTATATGCCGGTAAGTCCCAGATTCTTACCAAGAGTGCTGTCGCTCCCCCGCCCACCCCCCAGTCCCCACAAATATCTTTATTACTCCACTGGACTCTATTGGTAGTCTTTGCTGACTTTTCCGTAGCCCTGGCCTCCACAGATGTAACGGGGTGTCAATCACCTCCACCTTCACAACTGTTGTACAATACTTACTGAGCTCGAAACATAAGGCCATGGTGCTTTGTGTCCGAGCATTTCAGCAGCAAGAGCATCGGAGGCGATTTGCTCTGATTCTCAACTCGGAGGTTTAACTTCCTCGCGCTCCTAAGGTGAGCCGGACTGCCATTCCCACCATCGCCAGCATGCGCGAGGCATCCCAAGCAGGGAGCATCTTTGAAAAAGCGGGAAGAGGACTTAAACCCAGAAGGATGCCAATGTTACAAAGGTGTTCTTTTGGTGAGGAAAGGCAGCCGCCGGGTTGCCACGGGTCGGGTTTTTCAGACGACAGTCCTCTCTTGGAAAAGCTGTCCTAGCTAGTTCAAGTGTGGTTTTTCCCTTCCTTTAAAAAAGTCGTTCTTGCTCGCTGCATTCCGGATCCAAAACTGCTGCGCACCCTCATGGAAAATCCTTTTTGTACAACTTCCACAATTGCAAGGCAGAAAACTCTGCCAGTGCTCTGGGCAGGCAGGACGGAAGGAACGGCAGGTGAAGAGAGAAGCACGCTCTCTTCAGGACAGTCCTTGCCTTGCAGCATGACTCAAGCGTGTGTCGGAACACGCGTGCTCGTTCGGGCCGGCTCTTTCACGCGATGGGAGGGAAAGCGCGGTTCTGGCCCTTGGGTCACTTGCAAGTGGAGAAGACCAAAGCGATGCAGGCATGCGAGCAGGAAGGAAGGGAAGCAGTGCCGAGAAGGGCAGGGTGGGGCGAAGGGGCCCAGGGGCAGGACGGTTTCTTGCACGGCAGGTTCCACCTCCGAGTCCCACCCTGGGGATCGACAGAACCAGCACCAGGTGGAGCCGTCCGGCCCCAGGGCAGCACCGCCTCGCGCTGGAGGACTCCTGTGGGAAGCTGGCTTGGCACCGTGTGTGCCGAGTGCTGGGCTGGACGGGCTTGTGGGCCCGATCCCGCAGGGCTTTTATGCTCTTTTGTCAGCCACCGGTGCCATTCGACGCAGCCCGGCGGTCCCTCGGTCTGGTACGGGGGGCTGATTGGTCAGGACACCCCTTCTAAGCAATGCCGTGCCTGCCGGTACCACTGCTAGAACCCCTTGCAGGGGCACCAGTGCCGCCCCCTGAGGGAAGGAATGCCACCCCATTCCCCTGTGGGGGGAGGAGGTTTCCAAGAGCAGGTGGGCGGGAATGACGGGACAACTCTGCCCTCGAGAATGCTTTTATTTATTTATTTATTTATTTATTTATTTATTTATTTATTTATTTATTTATTTATTAAAACATTTCTATGCCGCCCCTTGCCGAAGCCTCGGGGCGGCTCACAACACAAAAGAAAATACAATAAAATACAAAAATAACAATATAAAATAAATAACAATATAAAAGAAGTCGCCCTGGCCAGATAAATAAGCAAATATTGTTAACAATTAAAATGACGCTTAAATAAAAAGGTCTTTGCCTGGCGCCGAAAAACAAATAACGACGGTTCAGTGGAGTAATAAACAAATGTTCCCCTTCCCTTCAGGCTGCAAGGACTGCAAAACTGTAAGGATTGCAGAAACCGGTTTCCTTGTGAGAGGGAAAATGGCAGGGTGTAAATGCAATACAAGGCAATTACCATCCTCCTCATCCTCGCCTCGTCTGCCAGGAGACTGAAGCTGGTGCTGCAGGCTCTCCGTGCACATTTACAGCAAATCAACACATCGGAACAGTCAAACGACCCTGAGGTGTGCAGCAGCACCCCGGGTGTGGACGACTAGGTCCCAGTGCCTGGTCTTTCTGAGCGCCTGCGTGCTCACAGACACATCATGTCTTTCATTATTACGGATTTGCGTGGCAATTCCACCTCCACCACATCTTATAAAGAGTTTTCTGAGGGTTGTCTCAGCACTCAGGGACCTCTCTGAGTGGCACCCCCTCGGGCTGGATCTCTGACTCTTCATTTGGAGCCCCGAATTTCTGGGAGGACCCCTGCCTCACCACCAGAGGCACTTGCTAATATAAAGGTCATTCAGCCCCTGAATGAGCTGCCTCATCATCCCCCATCTTCGCTCCCCCTCCCGAATCTTGCGGCCTGACTCTTCTCCTGTATCCATACACCCCCTTTTACAAAAAGGAATCTCCTTAAGAGACCAAGGTCCTTGAAAGGCACATGCAGTTTAGCACACATGTAAATTGCCAACTGTAAATATTTGCATTTTTTTTTCCTTGCAGGCTTGAGACTCGGACCTTTTCAGAGCCTTGCACCACCCCTGAAAGGTAGGCCAGTTTGATTATTCTCATAAATCAGAGCATAAGTCTGAAGCTGGGAGAACTGTGACATTGTGACAACCGCCCAGAGAGCCTTTGGGCTACTGGGCAGGATAAAAATGTATTTCATAAGTAATAATTTAATAGTAATAATAATAATACTGTCCTAAAGCAGCAACATGGGTCCACAGCAGAGATGAGATTTCAAGGGGGCCTTTCAGAGTTGTCCTAGGTGGGCATATTTTCTGCGTGCCTGTCATTCAGTAACCAAAACAGCACACGTTGTGCATGACCTTGGGATGGGGAGAAACACACAAAAATTAAGAACAAAAATCCTAAAGGGTGGGGGTTACAGGGGGGTCACAGGAGCCAAAGAAATAGCTTTTCCTAGGTCTTGCTCGAGCGGCAGCTGCCCAGATCTCTGTGGGAAACTCCCAGGCCGGATGTGACGGTGCTGCTCATTAGCAGTGTGCCATTTAGCCTCACATTTGGTTCGGGAGGCTTCCTTCCGTGTGGATATTATATAGACTCGAGCATCTGGATACGGACAATCCATTTAGAGCCGCGATGGTGATTAGGGACGTAATCCACGGCTTCTAGACGCTGTCTAGACAGCAATAGGATCATTTGGAGTCCCAGCAGCTCCGGCCTTGGAAAAGCGTTCTAAGGTTGGCGCAGGGGCTGCACATGCAGAGCCGAGTCACGCCGCCCCTGCATGGGCCGCAGCTCCAGGGCCGCAAGCCCGACTGGAGCCGGCACCGAGGGGGTGTTCGGAGGGCGGGGGGGGGCAAAGCAGTGCCATTCTGCAGGGAATGCCTTCGGCTCCTCGGCTTGCAAACCGTGGCAAGGCATGTAGACTGGGGAAGTCGGCTCCATGCCGCAGCTCACTCCCCACCTCCACTCTCGTTACGGGCTGGCAATCTGCCTGTGACTTACGGTGACCCTGCGGATAGGTCACCTCCGAAATGGCCTGTCCTTGAGAGCCCTGCTGAGCTCCTGCAACGCAAGGGAAGGGCTTTCTTTATGGTGGCGATCTATCTTGTAGCTAGCTTTTCTCTTCTTCTGCCGTTGACTTTCCCTAGCAGCCTCGGTGTTGTCAATTTTGCTTCCAGCAAGTTCTGGCTTGATTTGGTCTAGGACCCATTTATTCATCTTTTTTTGGTGTAGGGTATTTGCAAATGTTCTCCATTGGATGCCCATAGTCCCTCCATATTCAGAGGGTTGGCTTGTACTGCAGATAGACTACATCGAGATAGGGAGGTTCCATTCAGAAAGGCTGTTACCGATGGTTGTTCAGTAGACCTGGAAGCTGCATATAGGACAATAAAAAGGAATCTGCATCTAGGCAAGGAGGTCCCATGCAGGTCTGGGACTCGGGCGATCCGGGTTCTAGTCCTCGCTCAGGCATGCAGCCAACTGGGGGACATTGGGCCAGGCACTGACTCTCAGCCTGGCCTACCTCACAGGGGTGCTGAGCCTGAGAGCAGGAGGTGGAGCATGATGTAAGCCGCTTTGAACGCTTTGAAAGAAAAATGCGGAATATAAATCCATCAAAGCAATGGGTGGGCTGCACTTAGCTAGGGAGGTTCCACTTCGCAGCGAGATACCGCCTTTTTCTCGGCGCTGCCCCGCTTGCTGTCGTGACGGGGATGCGGCTTGCAAGCGGAGGGGGGGTCGCGCCGAGCCTCGGCCCTTCCTTCCTTCCTTCCTTCCTTCGCTCCATTTCCTGGGTGACCTTGAGAAGCGAGGGCGCATCCAAATCTCCACCCCCGCCAGCAGTCCGGGCTCCGGCGGCAG